TGTGTGGTCATAAAAGAAAATAAATCTGTTGTTTAGTTGCTTAACTTTTGTCTCATTAGTAACCACCAATACCATCATTGACCTGCATACCAGTTTAACCAAACATTTGCAAACTCACCAGCAGATGTCTCGTAAAAGTTTACAAAGAAGTCTTGTTAAAATACCAAACATTTCATGTAAAATTACCAGACTTTTATGTCTAAAATTTACCATACTTTACTTGTAAAAATTTTACTAGTGTTGACTTGTAAAATGTTTACAACATAATACTTGTAAAAATATTTACCAAATCTTGTAAAATTACAAGTTGTAGTAATTTTACCATAAAAACTCTTGGCAACTAGTATTCCAAGACTTTTTATTGTAAAATCTCCCCCGACTTTTTTTACAGTGAAGGCAATGTCCACGTGGATTTGCGCATGTTGTTTGGTTTTGAGTTTGGGTGGCCGACTCCTTCACGGGTTTGGACGCATGCCGTACGTACCCGCAACCAGACTATTCTCGGATACGTCACGATGCACTCTGGACACGGCCAGATGCGTCTTGGATGCGTCCAGATGCCCCTGGACGCACCACGATAAACCTGGAGACGCCATCGGACACGCACTGACCCATCTCGGATTATTGTTTCCAGGGTCCGCCAAAAATGAAAAAAAATAAAAAAGGATAGATCCTGGACGGGGCTTCCATTTTGACCTTGTTCAGAGGGTTTCACCAGGGCAAAGACCGCTAAATTTATCCAAAACTAGGCACGTGTCCGAATTTAGAGCAGTTTCAATCTTACTTCCAGACAATCTTAAAATACTTGTGGAGTATGTTGAGGTACAAATTGGAAAATCATTCGGTAGGTCTACAGCCACAGTACCTCCAATCGCAACCAGTTTTACATACTCCTTCAAAGTGTGCACAAGACCGACGGGCTCTGTGCGAAATTAAAACATCTGACCGTACCGTACCTGACCTACGACGTCTTCCGTTCTGCCCGTACCTTTGTGCCTTGTATAATTTTGAATGCAAAGCTCAAAAGTCTTCGTTGCGGAGGACAGAGCTCTTTGGCCAGTCGCGTCAGGTATGTACTCAGCTTCATCTTCAACGAGGTTAGGACGTGTTTTTTCCCGCCTTCAAGTCTGTATGGATTTGTTCAATCTCATTATTTAAAGCTATATTTAGTGACAAATCACTGTTCAAAATAGTAAATAGACCACGTCTGAGGTGACGGGCTTCGAAAAAACTCACGAAACACTGTTGCGCTGCGACGCGGCTCGCATACATCTACATTTGCCTGCAGCGCTTACACCCGAGTCGAGAAGTGAGAAAATGTATTGAAAGATACATACCTGCGGCCTACGGCCCGCAATTCTCGTGTAGCATGCAGGGTTGTAATTTTCTCCCAATTTTCGCAAAAAATAATCTTTAGCGTCTCAACGGTATGAGGTAGAGCAAAACGGACAAAATGGACAAAACTCTAGTCAAAATGGATCAACATTGATGAGTTATTACCCCTTAGGACACCATAAAAATATACTTTCAAAAATGCCCCACAAGAGACTGTGTTTTTTTTTTTGTTTTTTTCAAATCCAACTTTTGGGTTAGAATGCTCATTTTTGAACTCGATCTGTCTTTTTAGAACACAAGAGATGAGGATGGTTTTCCCAATCCCAATGCCCTTCACCCAAAACAAAAGTACCCAAAACAATTTCACCCGCTGATTTTACGTCCACCTCATTTACCCCAATTTCTTTTCATCCTGTCGGCACTTGGCCCACCATACTAGCTTCCTAACGCCCACTTTTGGAATAAAGTGTCTTCGTTGAAATAGTAACATCCACAAACAGCACCTCACTTCTTTCGGCTAGCTCCTTCCACGATGCTGCCAAAATTTACAGAATAAAAAATGGACGGAAAAAATACCATGACGAACAGAACGTTAAAGAGGTCGTGAAGGCACCTCAGTGGCACAAGTGTGAAGATATTCAACCAACAAGTAATTGGGTGATTCCACGGTAGAGTGCAAAATTAGCCTTTCAAAAATTTTACATTTTTTTCGTGTATAATTTCCATTTTTCTGCTTTAAAGTGTCAGGGGCACACTTGCCGAACTACCGGAAAAGCCTCCGCGAAAACATGAGAGAAGGGCGCCCTGGAGAAGAAGCTTTACAGCCCCTGGACCCCGCTTTTGGACCTGGGAAACCAATAGGCTCTGGCTGCGTTCATTTCTCGCACACGGCGTTGAGTTCATGAGGTTCCTGGCTGTTTTCCCTATAGAACTGTCTTTTGCCCGACTTCTGCGATCAAAATTGCGCTTATCAGAGCCGATCACCGAGCGCATTCGAGGTCGCGGCCGCCCTGGCTGCCAGCTGGTCTGGGCGGTTTCGCCCTGTTCGAGCTCGCAGCGCCCATATGTGTCGACCCAATGAGTTAGGATTTGGTACCTAGGGTTTTCGAGCATGCTGATTTCATTTCCGGTGTCAGATTTTACTTCCGGGGTCATCCTAGGGGCGTTCCGGGGGAACACAAGGGTCAAGGTCCCCGATAACGCCCCTAGGATGACCCCGGAAGTAAAATCTGACACCGGAAATGAAATCAGCATGCTCGAAAACCCCCAGGTACCAAATCTTAACTCATTGGGTCGACACATATGGGCGCTGCGAGCTCGAACAGGGTGAAACCGCCCAGACCGGCTGGCATCCAGGGCGGCCGCCGGCTCCGCCGACCTCGAATGCGCTCGGTGATCGGCTCTGATAAGCGCAATTTTGATCGCAGAAAGTCGGGCAAAAGACAGTTTTATAGGGAAAACAGTCAGGAATCTCATGAACTCAACGCCGTGTGCGAGAAATGAACGCAGCCAGAGCCTATTGGTTTCCCAGGTCCAAAAGCGGGGTCCAGGGGCTGTAAAGCTTCTTCTCCAGGGCGCCCTTCTCTCATGGCGAAAACTACTCGGTGAAAGTTCGAGCGGTTGGGTTGGCCGGGGAAGCTCCAAAAATATTTCCTAAAATATCACTTTTGGGTCATCGGCCAACTGACAAGACGTGGCGCTATGGAACAGGGAGCAATAGAAACCATCGGTAACGAATTTTATTTTTATATGTATTGCTACTTTGGTTTGTAACCTGGTCAGGGTGACTCCGGTTTTGATGTTAGAGGACGGCACTCTCGTTTACACATTATACGATGTATAGGCAATATTTTAGTAGTAAAATAGAGAGAGAATGTATAAAAAGGTAGCAATACTACTTCCTTTAATTATCTGGGCCAAAACAACGTTTTAATGTGCAATTTCATAAAACTTTCGACGAGCGTGACGGAGTTAACGTCAACTCCGTCACACCGTACACCAGATAAATCACTTTAATAACACAAAAGAGGTCAGAAAATCGGTAACACGGATGTTCTTTAGATAGAATAGATGATTCTACATCATTGTTAGCCTGCACACGTCCTGTATACGGCTAGGTATTGAAAAAATCTTTGTTAAGATGGATTCAGAGTTCACAAGGTGCGAGCGTGATTTTCGCGCCGCTAGCGTGAAAAGAGTTGTTTTGGTTAGCAATTGACTTTGTGCAACAGCCAGTAACAGGCCGACTTGGGGCTATGCCATTCGTTACAGCTGAATCAGCTTTGGAGCAAGCGTGATTTTCACGCCTCTGGCGCGATTTTCACGCAAGCGTCTGCTAGCAGCGTGATTTTCACGCAAGTTCGTAGGTGCACTTGGGAGATATTCGAGGATGAAAATCACGCTGCTAGCAGACGCTTGCGTGAAAATCACGCCAGAGGCGTGAAAATCACGCTTCGACACATAAAACCTACAAGCACGGAGTTCGTGGAGTCTCCGTATAAACCCGTAGTTCCAGGCAGCTCCGTACAGACACGCAGTTCAGTGGGTCCCCGTATAACGTCGTAAGTGCTTGAAAGTCAATTCTGAGATATAGCGCTTCAAAGTTTTGGATTTACATTACGCCTTATGGGCGGCTGGATTTTCAGACCAGAATTACTTTTGAACTAATTGACATATCGAAATGCGGTTTTCGCTGATCGATAGCCCTTGGTTTCCTCTATTCGACGCACTTCATAACTCGAAATTTTCAAAAAACATAGTTACGACGCTATACGGCGGCCCGCTGAACTCCTAGTTTGTACCGAGGCCCCGGGAACTGCGTGTTTATACGGAGCCTCCACGAACTCCGTGTGTACAGGTTTCAATTGTCGGCTTGCTCCAAAGTTGATTTAGCTGAAACGAATGGCATAGCCCCACGTCGGCCTGTTATTGGCTGTTGCATAAAGTCAACTGCTAACCAAAACAACTCTTTTCACGCTAGCGGCGTGAAAATCACGCTCGCATCTTGTGAACTCTGAATCCACCTTTAGAAGATGTTGCCCACAAAAACATACGCTCCGAAACTGAACATATATTGTATGTTGAGAAGAACATGAGATGACGCGAACTCTCGATCTGGGCCAATTTGTTCCTCAAATTGATCGAATTTCATGTTTTTTTCGTGAGTTTTGTTCTACATAACCCCTTTACCTGATAAATCTACACCTATTGTCAACTCCGTCACGCTGAGGTCTAGATTCGAGGACACGGTTTTCTTAGTTGTTTTTAGGTAAACTGGAGAATGAAACCGATACCCCCTATCTAAAGTCGCTTACCGCCTCGGTGCCTGGGGACAACCGCTTACCGCGTTTGGCCCGCCCGACAACCGCTTACCGCATGGGAGGCTCTGGATAACCGCTTAAGTCGCTTTTTTGCCGAAATTGTAATATTGGTATCGTTGGAAAGAGGCGGAAATTCTCTTTCGAATGATACCAATTTTACAGTTTCGGCAAAAAAGCGACTTAAGCGGTTATCCAGAGCCTCCCATGCGGTAAGCGGTTGTCGGGCGGGCCAAACGCGGTAAGCGGTTGTCCCGAGGCGCCGAGGCGGTGAGCGACTTTAGATAGGGGGTATCGAAACACAATAACGATGTACACATCTTGCAGCTCGTCGATTTAATTATTGATTCCAACCGTTGTAAGTATTAAATACCTTCAAAACGAAACCAAGGAAGAAAAATAAAGACGCCAGCTTGGGGCGGGGACCGTGACGGAGTTTACATTTAGCTTACTTTAATTGAATTTTCTTTTAAATTTGCATAAAAACCTGTCGTTTTCGATCGGTTATAGGTGGGAGGTAAAAACAGCCTTAGACATGTGAAGTTCCGAATATCTCATCCAGAAATATCGAATTTAGCCTCGGAGACACGATTTTGCACTCTATCGTGGAATCACCCAATTTTGATAGGCATATATCATCAACCGACAAGTTTAACAAATTCTAATATAGAACTATCCAAAGATGAAAACCATGAAAACTTTCTGAATATCCTGCAGGAAGTTCTTTTAGGCTGTGTAACCCCTTGTCGATGATGTTTTTGTTGGTGGCGATTTTAATATTCATTTTCCACAGATATCTCGGAAAAGAAATGAACTGTTTATTTACTAAAATTATGTGGTTTCAAGCCAACTCTGGGAACTGAGGTGTGAGACAGTCTCGCACCATATGGTGCAAGGTAAAAAGACTCACACCTAATACTGCAAAGCAAACATACCTCACACTCACGATGTAGTGAGCCTCCCCGGTGGCGGCACTGCCTATGCCGCAGCTCGCAGAAAGTGGCACCAGATCCCGTAGGATTAAGTCGGTTCGCCCGGCCGCCACCGCAGCGTGGCGATCGGTCGTGGGACACCCCCTCTCTTCCCCTAGCCAGGTGCCCGACGACAGAGGCGACGGGGTTAACCCATGTTTCCCGGCATCCTGGACGTCGCGGGGCTGGACACAGGCGACGGGACAGCGGAGGGGAAGGGAGGGGGTGTCCCACGACCGATCGCCGCGCTGCGGTGGCGGCCGGGCGAACCGACTTAATGCTACGGGATCTGGTGCCACTTTGCGCGCCACAGTGCTGCCAGCGGGGGGCTCACTACATCGTGCTCACACCAAATGCTGCGAGATCCTCTGTGCCTCGCACAAATGAGTGTAAGATTAGTTTGGTCTCGCACAAATGATTCCCAGACGCTAACATAGTAACTAGGTTGCGTGTAAAGAACCTAAAACATTTGGCATTCAAAGAGCGCAAAAGATTGCCGTCCCTTGTAGAATGCCAATCAATGACGTTGTTTTCCAATGAAAAAATATGTAACACTTTTACGAGTCAAGGCTAAGTTTCAATACTGTATTGAAAATTTAAATAAATTAAGATAGCATTCATCAAAAAGGAAGGAGAGTGATAATGTTGCAACATAATTG